GGAAAGTTCAAAAGGTTTATTAAATTAAAAACAAAACAAAAGCGGAGCTGTGGCTCGCGGACACTGCAGGCAGGGGGGGGCGGGGCACCGCCCAATCTCAGACACTCTAGGGAGGAAACACAGGTAAGTGACCACGATCAACCAATAGAAGATTAACTGTGTGGGTCACTTACCTGGTTTAACAGTCCAGACCACAAGTGTCCCAGTGCTGCAGTCTCAGAGGTGATGGTGGAAGCTTATCCTGCACTGTAAACCCGGATAAGTAGAATGTACTTAAAAAAAATCAAGGTAACTCGTTGCCTTAAAAAATTTAAGTAATGTGGTATTAGTTGTATGAGTGCAGTAAACTATGTTAAATGTACTTGAGCACCTAATGGATTGGAATAGAATATTTAAGTTGTATTTACTGGTAATCAAGTTGTAGTAACTGACGATATGTAGTTGGAGCAACAGCTTAACACCTGTCAATTAAACTTAGCTTGTTAAGTAGGCATTACTGCATTTTAGTTCAATTCAATTGTGTATTCAAATTGACCAAACTTATATTTTTTAGTTCACAAAACTCAAAACGTGTTAAATTAATAGAGCTGTACAAAATACATTTCACTTCAACTTTTTATTGTTTTCATTGAACATTTTATTTGTATCAACAAAAGAAAATTCAAAGCCCAAAAGATTTTAAATGAGCAGATCTTGGATCTTACATGGCAAGCTGATTTTTAAGTGTTTGAAGTTTAGGCCTCAGATCTGTCTTACCCAAGTTAAGAAGTACCTGCTGAAAAAAATCAAAGGTGTTCTTCATGTACTTTGGGTAGCTGAGATGGAGTGCATAGGTAAGTCCAAAGACCGTGTACATGGCCTGCGGAAGGCTCTCAACTTCCATCACTACATTTCCCTCCAGGATAATTCCCACTGAGGATACATTATGGTGAATGGACTGCTTGTGTGGAGTTATATTTTCTTGTTCATTGCGGAGGACCCCCACAGGAACATTGTTGTGCAAACTTTCTTCATCATTGTCCTGAAAGAAATAACAGTACATGACTTTAACATCTTGCAGTCAACAGCCTTTACTGTTATGCAGCCCTGTATAGAGTTCACCCCCTGCCTAGTTCAGAAATTAGTGCAAAAGGAGTTAAAAAATGATAAGAGGCACATGATACAGTTTTGGATGGTGCCTTTTTATGTATGCATACAAATCACATCAACATAAATTAAAAAGAACCAGTTAAACAATCATTTCCTTCTGTGGAGTAAGGAAAATTACAGTTAATAGAGTAAAGCTTCTTAAAGTAACTGAAAAATAGCTTTTCTAACCAAGCAAGATAACTAACAAGCTAACATTAGCTAAGTAGCCTTTGCTAAGTACTGTAGCAAAACAAGAGATTAAACTTACCGTTTTGTGGCTGAACTCACTTCATTCACCGAGTGCTTTAAATCTCTGTGGAATGACTTCCTTGTTATGAGTTGTTGAAGATCTCAATAACGCTGTCGTCTGTTTTGTCTCAAAATGCTTCGGAGTTCCTCAGTGCCAGCTTTTCTATTTCACTCGCTCAAAACTGGTCTAAACCGGATTTTTCGCGGGCAGGTGGATGACGTGAGAGGCAAACTAATGATATTGAGTTGTCTGAGCTCAAATACATAATTACAATAAGCTAGATCATTGGAAAGTGGTGTTTACTCAGAAAAAATAGTTAATATAAAGAATTTAGTGATACTAACTTAGTTTGTTTAAGTCCAAACCATTGACTGTACTTAAAAATATAATTACACTGAAAAAGGACATAAAAAAGTTCAGCTTAATTGAAATAAACAAGTAATGTCAGTAAATTAGACCTCTCTAAGTACTATGAACTCAGTTTCTTTGAGTACAAACAAAATCTGGGTTTACAGTGTGGTCAGGGATCCAGAACAGACAGAAACAGGCAGGATCCAGATCAGGCAGGAACAGAGACAGGTGGCAGGATCCATACTTCCAGGCATCCACAGGCTTCCAGGAGGGTTCAGAGTCTTACTGGGACCAGAAGCATGACCAGTTGGTCACGCACAGGAGCAGACAGGATCAGGTGCAGACAGGCAGGCTCAGTGGAAGAGGGTAGCCGAGACAGGACGTGGAACCTGAACTTGAAGCAGACTTTAAACTGGTCTCCACCCAGGAGCCAGGCTTACTTAGATAAAAACTGAACCTCCCCCCATAATGAGCCAAAAACCCAGAGGACTCCGCAGGGGAGGAACAGTGGACGATCAGGAGACGAGACAAACACTAAAACCCTCTTTCCACTGGCAGCTAGGATCCAGGACATGAACCAAATAAAAACTGAACAGAAAGACAAGCAATGATCTGGCCCTGAATGCTCAGATTGAACTAAATATAAACCAGAGCATCCAGGTGAGGGGAATAAATTATAATTGAGGCAGGGAAAGAAGAGGGCAGGTGATAGGAATTACTAATTAGGGGAGAGCAAACAGGCCAGATCATGACAGGGACAATTGTAGCTTCATATGTAGTTCTTTTCCATGGGTGAAATAAATGTTACTCCAATACTGAAATCATACTGTTTGTCATTTTCTAAGCTGAAATGTTGAATGACATGAAAAGGCGAGACAAGACAAAATACAATTATTCTCTAAGTTTCTTTTACATAGTGAGCTTTGCAATATAAATGAGTCTGCTGGTGAATGGACATTATAAATAGGCTCTGCCTTGTCTTTTTGGAAAAGCATGGTTATGACCTGTTCTCTGCTCAGGAACTACGTAAGACCCGTATGATATCTGGTTGTTCAATAGGTTTGGCTAAATAAAAGATTTAGATATGACTTATCAAGTTATTCCTACAAAAAGGTCTGATGTTGCAGGGGCAGGCAATGAAAAGTGTTTGGAACATGCTCTTGTTCTGATGCCAGTTTGTTTCAGCCTTTATTCAGTCTTAATGTAGAAGGGCTGGTCATATCACAGGTTATTTGCATTACAATAGGGGCAGTTAGCAAGATAGAGCGAATACACAAACTTGAAGAGGGGAGGGGGGCTTGCAGGAAAACTGAAATTCTCTGGGACTTCTAGTGTTAAAACAGTTCATATAAATAGAAACAGTATAGAATCTAAATTAAATAAAAACATCTGAAAAAAATGTCTTTATCATGATGGAAAAAAAACATAACTTTATATAAAATTAACGTAAATTCACACTCAAACTACCACATAGTTTCTCGAGGGCCAAGAAAAAAATACAGAAAGGTGTAATGAGGGACAGAAGTCACATAAAAGGTTTATAAAAATATATTATTAAAGCATTAAATAAAAAAAAATGCAGCACATAATATAAGGGCAGATATTTCAATTTCTAGAGAAAATATACAAAAAGTCGAAACATTTAACATTAAAATAGTAAACAACATGATAATATAGTGCTTAACTTTAAAATAAACATTTAAACTTGGTGGGATTAAATAAAATTTTATCCCACAGAAATTTATAACATCAACAGTGCCTTTTGTCTGCGCTGATACAGTTTCCTGCGCTGATACGGTGCTGTAAAGCACAAAAAGGATCCCTGACACTTTGGAACACAGACAGACGATAGCCAGTCATGGCATCTATTATTTATGCCGGTGGAGGTTTTTTTTCCTACAGAGACTTTATAGAATTTCTTTTCATATAATCAATTCAATTTATCTATATAACACCAATTCACAACAGATGTCATCTCAAGACACTTTACAGTTCACCAGATCATACAGTCAAATTGATTATAAGTTTTCTATCTAAGGAAAGCCAGTTGATTGCATCGACTCATCAACTCGAAGGTAATCTCTCATATATAATATATCATATAATTATGATGTAAATCATAATTTATATAATTAAAATTTTAAGCTTAAAAAAATAATTGTTTTCTTTTTTAATTAGCCAGTTTTGATCAAGCGGAACCAGTGCTGGCCTTGGATCAGAAAATGGCCCAATATTAGGAGACAAACAGCATACTGAAGAAAAGATTCATACCTTGTGTTGTTTCAAATATTACAGTAAAGAAACTTAAATAAAAAAAATAAAGAATATTTGTTAAGAAGGCTAGTTAAGCACCAAGTAACCAATGAATTATCAGATTTTTGTCATTTAAAAAAAAACGTATATAAACAGGCAAAGGATGGAGTCTTATGCAACTTAAAGTAGAAATAAAAAAACACTCATGGGAAAAAATTATATTCTATTGTTTTCTTTTTTAAAATAAACTATATGAAACTATTATACACAACTAATTTGTGGATAAATCTGAAAAGGGTTTTGAAGTATTGAAAATGATTCAATCATACACCTTCTCTCTCCTCCAATCCTTAACACCAACAATATTTGAGATTCCTGCTCGCTTATGTATCTATACTACTCAAAAGTCCATTAAGTTAGCAAATAAATTTATTTGTGTACATATAAACATACATATACACATTCACATGTGCCTAGACAAATTTTCAGTCATACAATTATAACCCATAACCCACATTACCAGAACCATTTTGGAAATATCTATACACCTTAGTGTGCCCATTAAAGGTCACTTATATCGTTTGAAGAAAAAACTGTTTGAGAAAACAATTTTGCCAATATTTCACTAATAGGCTACTGCATTATGATATTAAAAAAGATGTCTTTTTCTTATAGTATTAATATCACTATTGTGGAAATATATGATTTTATTAGTCCATGCTAGCAGCCAATCTCTTTACAAAAAGAGAAATCATCTCTTTTTGAGGCCAATAAATATCCTTAATTCTTCATGTATTAGTTCTGCCAGTGCTAAGATTTACTTTGACGTCTTTTAGGAGCTATCCTGATCTCACCCTGAATTTGTTGCTGTTTTCTCTTTCCTCTCTTTTCTATTCCTCATCTGAATCTTCCTGCATTTCTTCTCCTCCCTGCAACTCTGGTGCTGCATGAACCTAACATATTGTTTTGGTGCATTTGGCTTGGTCCACATGGAGGCTTTTGAGCTGTTTTCCTTGAGTTTTTTTCCATTCTCTGTAGTGTTTTGTAGTTTATTATTTATATCCACAGGTTAGAAAGCAGGTAGCTCTCCAACTCTGTCACCTGTGTTGATTTCCTCGTTGAGGGGAGGGCTACAAGTGTTGTAAAAAGGGTCTTGTTTCATTTCTCACATTCTGTTTCAGTCAAAAAAGTTTTTGTAATGCTTTTAATTCATGCTTTTATTGAAATAATAGACTATATCTTGAAAATGCATAAGTAAAATTAATGAATTATACATAGCACATTGATTTATTGATTACACTACGACTGTCTTGGATAGGTCGTGAAATACGTGTTCAAGCATTGCCTTGTAAGCCTGGTTTGGTCAGTCAGGCTAAAGTAAATCCTCTGGAAAGGAGTGAGTATAGCCTGAGTGATTCCAAAGGTGGGAAAAACACACTCAGGGTAAATAGGTTAGAACCAACCAGATAGCTATGGATGTGAGCCAAAAATGTATAAAAAAAAAAAGGAAAGCTGCTACAGCAGTTGTTGAAGTTCTGAGTATATAATCAGCTCATCCAGAATATGTTTTTCATTACACAGTCCGAAGTACAGAGCAGTGAAATGACCTCTCTGCATTTAACCCATCCCCTTGGGGAGCAGTGGGCTGCCATTGTGCAGCTCCCGGGGTGAAGAGTTTGTTTAGGGAGCCACTGTGGCAGTCCTTGGAAATGGGAATCGAACTCAGAACCTCAGGACTCCAAGCGCAATGCCCCAAACCACTAGGGCGCCACTCCCCAAAGCAGGCATTATTGTGAAGAGTCTTACCTAATGACCCACACTGGCAGCTAATTCCTATCAGCTGGGATACGAACTCAGGCCTCCTGTTTGCAGGATGGGCGGCTTACCACTTGACCTAGCCAGCAGCAAATATAATATAATATATTTTATAATATTATTTTTATAATAAAGGGCATCATTAAAAATCACACCATGCACCCTGAGTAACTCTAGTGCAAGCATAAACTCCCACCTCCTGTGATTGTTTGGTCTGTTTTAGACAGGAGTGTCTGAGCCTCATGAGTCTGATCTTCACTCCATGTAAGTTAGTCTGGCTAACTAGCTCGGCTGGTCCAGTACAGCTATGAAGGGAAAATATTATAGGAACAAAGACTAAACACACATTTTAACATTGATCAAATATAAATGGCTTGTTTTGCCATCTAAATATATAAATATTCTCATCATGGTGCAAAATAAGAAATACAAATTTACAATAGATTTACAGTCAGTACAGCTGCCAATTCAGCAGTGGCTCTGTGTATACACTGGGTAGAGCTAAATAATGCTAAGCACAATTTAACTTAACTTTCTTTAAGATCATCCCATTTAAAGTACAACTCAATGAGGTGTTTTGGCTTTTGTTAGGTCAGTCTGACCAATCATTGTCCTCAAGCTCAGAGTCATCCTCAGAGTCACTGTATTCAACTGCAATTCGTCGGGAAAGTATGGTGGCCACGTCGTTCCCCACTGGCTCCCCCTTGTTTTGCTGTTCTTGCTGTTCTTGAACTTTTTTCAGCTGGATACCTAATGGTAAAAAAGAAAGAAAACATTAATTAAGCTTAAGAGGCAAACCTTTTCTCCAAATTATGTTGAATAAGTCACACTTACCCATTCGAATGGCAGAAAGCAGGTCACTTCTGGCATCTCTAACTGGTTTTGTTTCGGCCCTACAGCTCTCATTGTGGCGTTGTGGGTGTGAGGGCACAGAAGGGGGTGGCAAAGGTGGAGGTGGGGGACCTGGGGGAGGCGGGGCTGTGCATGGCCCCTGAGGAGGTACGGGCGGGAATGGGTAACCTGGTCCAATGTGAACATTTCCAATATGCAGCGGAGCTGGTGGAAAGCCAAACGCAGTCTGGGCTGAGGGGATGGGAGGGGCTTTGGGAGGAGGCTGGGGAATGAAGCTGTTTGATAGAAAGAACAGCAGAGTTAGAAAACCAACATTTGAATCTAAATAAGTCATTTTCTCTTAAAATAAGTTATTTTTTTCTTGAATTGCGGAGGTAAGTGACACCCTTTACCAATGGAACAACAAAATTTACATTTAAAATAAGAAAAAAAACAATTGCATTGTCTTATTTCAAGCGCATATTATCTAATTATATTATTTTAGAAATAAAAATACTCATTCCATTGGCAAATCATCTTATTTACCTACTCAAATTGAGGGTAAATACACTTAATTTAAGAAATATTCACTTTTTTGCAGTGCATCTAGTAACAGTTTAAAGTTTATATAAACTTATTGTTTGCATGAAATTTATAAATTTGGGGCCTTAAAATGTTTGGATAAGAACATACAGCTAAAGCCAGTTTTATCAACAATACCTGAGTGAAAAAGATTACATTTATTGTTAATCTCTATTTTTTTTTTATCTCCACAGGTCCCAAATTATTCTTCCAGGATAAAACATAAACCTTCAGCCACAGTTTAGTTTAGTTTACTTTAGTTTAGTTTACTTTAGTTTTGTTCAGTTCCTTAATGTCCCTCATGGCAAAATGTAGTGCACAGCAGCAGTCAGGCAAAGATAATCAAGGCTTATTCCACACATAAAAGCTCAAATATCAGATTCAACAACAAGAAATAAAACCACTATAAAATGTTTTTTAATGTGCCATGCTTGATCAAAATTAATAAATAACTTCATAGCACTTGGGACTAAGGATATTTGTATCTTTTTCCAGTGATATACCATGGCACCAAACACACAACATAAGTAGCTTAAGAATGGCACAGAATACTAAAACCAAACTTCTGAAATAGTTTATAAACTTTTAGATATTTTCTTCCAGCACATCAACCAGTTAAGATATGACAAAGGTTATGAATAAAATGTCTTTACTTCCATCCACTTTACTTTACTTCTGTTTTTGCTTTTTATATTACGTTTGGAAAGAGCCAATGAGATCAAATAAACCCCCATTTCCTTCCAAAAAAGCCAAGAAAAGAAGCAATTTAAACAAACTCTGCCCATTCTCAAAGGATGGCAGGAGCTCATTGATATGTGCAACACACATTTAGCCAAATGTGAGCAGCATTTGATTCTGTATGTATGACTATAGATTTGAAAGAATGTATATATTTTAACTTATGCACTGTATATTTTTTTATTTTATTCTTTCTTTTTTTTTCATATGTTGCAGCCAAATAATAAACGAAACACAAAGACAAACATTCTAAAGTCCTGAGTAAAAGGGAGCAGAAAGAAGAATAATCAGAAACCGTGACAACTTTAAAAAAAAAAGTAAGTTCAAATCAAATATTCAAAACTCCAAATTAATCCAACATTCATGCTGGAAATATTGCATGTAAACTCTGACCGGCGCAATACATACTTGCAGTCTGTAGCCAGACGTCCAGAGCCGTTTATTCTGTCTGCAACATGGGGCTCTGCTGCAGCATAGGTTACTGCCTTGTAATTGATATCGATACTGTGGTATTCATGCTCCACAGGTGGTGAGGGATGTGCGTTTCCTGGGATGTAATCATAAGACTTGGCATAGTTACAAGCAGCATGAACAGGTACTGGAGGGATTGGATAGTCCAGAAGGTCAGGCCTGGATAAACAATGACAGGGAAGGAGATTATGATGCAGATGCCTTCGCATATCCAGATGGTCCCCCCCCCACCAAATGCTTATCCCATATGATACAGCAGGAATGAAAAGCTAACATGCTATTGAGTATGTGAAGGGTATTTAATACATATCCCATTTCAATTTGCCTTTCTAGACTTTATGACACTATACAACAATTTTATTTTATGACATAAAAATTTAGAGAAATAAATAGCAGAAAATCGCTGCTGACTGAGTTAATTTGCTAACATGACTAAAATGACTTGATAAATAAAGTGGCATCTAGAAAGACGGATTCCTTTAAATGTGTGTGGGTATGCAGACGCTAGCCCTGAATGCAGCGGTCAGATGTTTGAGTCCTGATCATGAGATTCTTTGCTGCATTCCTTTTCCTTACTCTATGCAAAAAGAAACTGGGCCAGTATATTTTTTTCTCTCGCTTGCAGGATCTGAACGCAATAAAATCACTAAATATATCTGGTAAAATCCCTGCACAACTCATACTGAATGAGATCTGATGTGGTTTTGAGGATTACTGTTTTAGAAGGCTTTCTAAAAGATTTCATTTCTGCAAGTAGAAAATATGACTAAATGATTGACTGAAACTCAAACGCAAAGTGTATTTTGCTCTGCTTTATAGAATTCAGTGCCTTTTTTGTTGTAACACACATTTTCAGTAATGTTTGCTTATTTCAGGAGAAAAAAACAGTGTAATTCATTTTGCATTTTTTTTTATAAAATTGCAAAGGTACTATAACAAAGAACCATTTGGTGCAAATGATTGAAAATGTAACTATGAAATCAAATTAGCTACTTAAATTATTTTGCATTTACAGCAACCCATCTTCCAGATTCACTTTGGTACATCCCTGAGTTTATCAGATGAGGTTATAATGTCTTCATTACTTTACATAAAGGATGCACAACCTTAAAAAAAATATTTCAAATAGTAGTGTTAGTCCCCTTTTCAGTATTCCAGTTTTTGCTCTTTTAACAACTTTAACAAATCTGTATCTTTATCTCTAACATGCAGAAATATACACCACAAAATACACACACTCATGAGAGTGCTTTTTTTAAATAAGCAGATTTTTTTCTTTTTTAAAAGGGGGTTAAATAGAAACCCTAACCTGCCATCTGGAGACAGCGAGCCCTCTGATGATGCTCCTCGTCGAAGAGTTTTTGGGTGGTGGTGATCTGGACGGAGCTCTTTATCAAAAGCCATCATATTCCATTCTGTTCTGCGGTTTCGTGCCTTCCTCACTTTCTTCACCTCCCGATGGAGTGTGCTGCTCTCCATACATCGCTTCTGTTCCTGGGAACGAGTGATAGAAAGACAACCAAATGTGAATATTTATTCAAAAGTTAGGAAACATAACCAGGGCTGTTATAACCAAGGCTGCACTGTTACCCTTTGTCTCCGCCTTTCTTTTCTTTTTTCCTCGGTGTCCTGAAGCATCTTTTCCTTCCACAGATCAAAGAAATAGGACGGGTCCGAATAGAATTTCATTGCATCATTGGAGTCCTCTCTGCTTTGTAAAAAATAAAAACTTTTTGCAAGGTCTGAAACTATAAAGTGACTTGATGGTTGATGTAAAATATATGCAGCACCTGTAACCAGTGAGGGACCCAAGAGGGGGAGGCTTGTCACAGCCATCATATATTTCTGCAACAAAACTGGGAGTGCTGCCTTTGGACAAAACCTGCTGGTCCTGGACCAATGAGCCTCGGAAGGCCTTCCTCAAGTTTATGTCTCGAAGAGACACTATGAAACAGCAAGAGAGGAGATAAAAGTATGTTATAAACCAATGATGTTAAAAAAAAAAGAAAACCACAACAAAAAAGTGTTTCAACAGGTTGTTTTTCAGTGAACTGACCCTCCTCTACATTGGAGTCCAGCTGGGTAACTTTGACCGCCAAGCGGTCAATCCGATCCTGGAGAGAGTTTGCACGAGTATAAAAGGTGTTGGCCTCATTAAAAAGCTCCCCAAAAACATTTTCTGCATGCTTACCTACAACAGAAACAAACAAAACAAAAAAAAGAAAGAATAAAACTTCAGAAAACACCCCATTAATACGGACAAATAAAAAAGACACACCTTCACATAGAAAAATATTACAGGAAATGGAGCAGGGAAAAAACGGCTGTTTTAATTCTGATATAAACTTGCTGCGTACTGTTGCATGCTGCCACTGGAACTATCTCAATCCACTTAGAGTAAAAGCTTTCCTTAGACCATGAGTTTTTAAGTCTCCATCCACCTACTCTCCATCTCATCTGCCTGTTGGGCAGAGCTTTAAGCTTTAAGCTTGCATAACCTCACTTAATCCACACATACTACCTCAAACATACACAAACATACATGTCGAATTACAAGCAATGGGACAGATGTAAAAGAGGAAAACTTTCCCGTCTTATTTTTTCTATCTCGATTGCAAAGATTAAACCTTCATAACAGAAATATATCCCTTCTATGGACAACACCCGGAGTTACATTCTTTACAGAACACTGGGAGTCTTCAGGGTGTCTCTGACTTGGTGCAAGTCATGAAAATAAAATGTTTGGTGTTAATGCCTTTTAGAGGACGGAAAAATCACACCCGCACCCTACCTTATGGGAACACTGCTGCAATTAGTTACAAGCCAATCTATTAAAATCTACAATTGGTTAGATGCTAAGTAATAAGAAAGGAGTTCTATGGTGTGTTTGTCCAGTTTTGACTTTAAAAAGCATAAAATGAAAGCTTAGACATTGTAATTACTGTCTAGTGGTATTTTCTTTCATGAACAAATGTGCACTGGCAATAAAGAGTAAGATAGTGTTCACTACTATGCCTTATGAACGCTACTTTTTAGTGTTCAAAAGGCATATGTCCTTATGAACACTATAAAATAGTACATAAAAATGATGGAATCAATCTTACATTCTTAAAGTAAGAAGCATCCATTCTCCACTCAGAGTTCTGACCTTTAGTGGCTTCTCAGTTAAAATGTCCAACTCAGAGGTTGGAAATTCTAAATGGAACATTGCAGTGTAGAGGGAAAAACCTTATCCTACTCCAGTAAGATTGATGAACTCTAGTCTATAACATTTTTTATTTTTGTTTTTATTTTATCAGTTCAATGTAAATTTTAGATTAAGAAAATTGGTTCAATACACGCGTTTGAAATTGTAGCTTTCAAATTGTGAAGAAAAAAGAAACTTTACAGCTTCATTAGTTTCTGGGTTTGTTTCAAGAAGAAAAAAGAACAATCCTGGAATTCAATTCATTCCAGGATATGATTCAAGGTATTTGAACGTACACTGTTAACACTTAGGACTTACTCAGACAACTTAGCTGTCGGATGATGGCAGATAACGTGTTGTTGGTCACACATTCCAGCTCGTTACCAATCCCATCAGGCACTGCACCATGGCACAAGTGCTGAGGCTCAATGTTTCTCTTGACCAGGGGCATATTTTCTTCTTTACATCCCAACCAATGCCTGTTGGAGGTGGAAAAGGGGTATAATTCAGATTATCAGATAGCACAGCCTGCAAGTGTAACCTTTTGAACAACATTTTCAGAAGAGCACAGCTGTCATCATTTATGAGGACCTTTGTAAATCAGTTTACACATCCTTATTAAATGGACTTGGCAAATGGTTCTTTGTTTGCTACAGACAATTAAATGTTCACAGAATCAAACAGGCTTACAACTAATTTTGTACTTTATCATACATTTTTCTGCAGTAGCTATGTCAACAAGATAAAAGGCTTAATCACAGATGGATGCTTACAATAGCAAAACACTAGAGATGATTGGGGTTTTGAGCTATAAAGTACAATTTGATCATATTTTTAACATAAAAAACGACAGGATATTTTTTCTCATGGACCAACTTAAATTCTTTTGTGGCATTTTGTTTTCCTATTAAAATATAAAACAAAATGTCCTGTTTTATATCCAGCTTCCAGTCTGCACCTCATCAAATAATTAGTTTGCAAAGTAAAAGCTCCTTTCATGTGTACTTTATTCTGAGTGGCTCTTAAAGCTAGTGAACTGACTAATACATGATAGATGTATGATACAAATGTCTATGGGAAATGGTCATATCTAATGTTTTACTGCATGTGAGTTAAAGTTTAAATTCACTTCCTTTCTTTCCATTATGAGCACAAAATTATTTCAAACCTTAAGAAAAGCTAAAGCAGTTTGAAATACTGCACAAGTGTAGCAGCTATCATTTGATTATTGATTTCAGAAAATATGTCTGTAAGTTGTTGGACATCAGTGACAAAACCTACTGATGAATACAGATTTTATATTTGAAGTATTTAAAAAATGAGAAGTAGCAATGCTATTTCACTGCAGTGTGTTGTTACCAAAGCCACAAGTTTTTATTTTTAGGATTTAAAGATGAACAGAAAAATGTGATGCTTCTTGTATAAAAAAATAGATATTTGTCCTGAGATATCACAATTATATTCAAGACACTGATCAGTTTATTCAACAGTTCATTCTCTTCTTTTTAAATTTAACATGTCCTATTTAAGAACAAATGATTTTCACAGAATTCTAAAAAAGAACAAAGGTTTTTTTTTTTTCTTGGTATTGCTTGCTTTTTTGGTTTGTTTTCCACTGAAGTTAATTAATGCATGAATGTTGAGAGGATAAGTTTGAAATTTGAATATCTATGTTAATCTAACAAAAAAAAACAATAAATGAAACAAACACTTTTCAGTGGTTAAATAGAAAAGAAGAAAATGAACAATTTTCAAATTTCCACCAATGTATTTTACTCTTATTTTCCATGCACATCAGTTTTTTGTATCAATTTTTTTTCCATATTTTTTTAATTTTGTGCCTTTTAGCCTATTCATAACTGAATGCTTTTCGTAAACTTTGCAGAGAAAATATTAGTTATTACATGAATAGCTGCATTTTTAAATCCTTTTTCTGTAAAAGAAGTGTTAGATAACAAAAATGCCTACCCGTGGACGATTAACAGTTGCCTCTATCATGGAGAAATGTTTTAGATGGTCCAGGTTGTTCTGCTGGCTCATAGGATGTGTTTCCTGTTTCCCATCAGCAAATGGGAATACAGCTGTCGAATCATCCACGTTACAGGGACTGTATGGGGGCCTGTTTGTGTCCACAGCGTGTTTTATCGGAGATAGCTGTCCTCTGGAGCCCAGTTCACTGACAATAAATCCCTATGTCCAAGTAACAGCCTGAGCCAGGAGGGGATTACCCAGTAGATTTACTCTTTCCATCCAATCGCAGGCGTCAATCCTGGCCGCGTTTCATCCAGCTCCATTTCAGGATGTATTAGTAGTTTTTATATAGCGTAGTAATGCATTCCATGAATCCAAGGTCAAAGCTCAACTAAGTGTTATTATATAACACATAAAATGAAGTTACAATCTATGAACCTTACCTGCTTATGCTATGATAATTATTTTCGATGCAGCTAGATACAGCCTTGGAATTACTTTTGTTGTCACCAGGTGTACGCATGTTATCTTTTATGTCAAAACACTTTTTACTTAAATGATAAGATGGTGAGACCTTTAAATCTTTCTGCAGTTTCTTTGCAAAAACAGCAGCTTGTCTCTCTAATCTGGGCTATTATCACATCAGTGGAAATGACCTGGATAAATAAAGAAACCAGACACTCTGAGTGTGAAATAAAAGTCACACACACACACACACACACACACACACACACACACACACACACACACACACACACACACACACACACACACACACACACACACACACACACACACACACACACACAAACCATCCTCCTCTCCCAGATGATGGCTGGATTTAGGGAGGTACTGGTATAACCTAGATATGGGGGCTTAAATCTTTACAGGCATCATTACAGCAAACAATAACTCAAAAACAGTTGTCTGTTTGGAGTACACTTTCTGTAATCTATGCTACTGATATGCAAAACTGTCTTCAACATGGGTCAAAACTGTCCATTTGAAATTAATTCAGGGCCACAAAATGATTTCAATTGTACCTGCTTAACTGTTAACAAAAAATAAAATAAAGAACTGATTTCTGCAGAAGAGAGAAAACATTTTACAGGATTTTTAATGTGAAACATAAAATCTCACAGGTTTTTCTTGTTTAAAAAGAAATAAATAAAAACAACAAATGGGAAAAACTCGCAAATAATGTTTTAAAACACCTCTTCTTTCTAAAAGCTTTAAGACTTTTTATGGCATTTTTGCTAACATGTAGGTCAATTTTTTGGTAAAAACTGTTTCTTTATTTCTCTCTGCTGAACTCTTTCATAAAAAGCATCTTTTTAAAAAGGCATTGTATCAGATACAGATTCAAAGTAATTTCTCTTTCGAAGGACAACTGAGTTTCTGCTATTTTTGTCAAGTTGGAGGGACCGCAAACTGCTCCCTATACCGTACTTTGAACACAACTGACCTACGTCAATTTCATCTTGATTGCTAATGGGATCTAAAGATGCTTCTCCACACTTTGTGTCAAGGTAAAGAAAGTATAACTCAGAGATCAGACTTTGCGGGGAAGATTACACCATAGCCTTTTGTGTGAGACATAACATTTAATTATTTTGTAAAAGATAAACAGAATTTCGTCTTAGTGTTAAAAAAAACAAAACAAACTAGACCCTGAGAATCGACTCTTAAAAGAACAAGCATTGACAAATTGAGAGGACTGACCAGATTTCCTGGTAGTTACAGTTTGCCAAATTGTTCCTGAAGAATAATGTGCGTATGTTTTTGTGCTGCTTCAAGAGCACTGAGGTTTGTGCTTTTCATTTATATACAGATCCGCCAATGTCCTCTAAGTTTTTCATTTGAGGAGCGGTTCGGTCTCTGATAGGATTATTGCCAGACGTTGATTATTTTTGCAGATATTTAGCTTTAGACTTTGTATTGTGCTTGTTGATAATATTGTTCTGTTACATGACAAAATTTCTGCCTTGTGTAATCGTTTTTTTTCATTACTTTATTAGATATTTGAGGATCAGTTTATGCTAAATTTACAATTAAAATATGCTACCTAAATAAATAGGAAACATGTAGACATGTAAGCAGGTGGGTGGAAAGGTCCTGTACAGTAGCTGTGGGCACAGTAATTTGTTCAGTGATTTTGCTGATGAGTAACGAATAACCTTAAACAGTTAAAGATGTAAAAGAGAAAAGATAAAAACAGAAGGTTTACACCATATGAGATATTCATTAATGAAGTAAAAATGTATAGCTTTAAAACCTCTTTACAGCAGTACTCATTTAAATCTATTTTCTATTATTTTTCAACAAAATGACTGACGTTTTTTAAAACTAAGGTTATGAATGTAAGTTGCTGTTAAAATGATAAAAAACCTAGAGAATATAAAGATTTATATGTCAAAAAGTAGAATGTATTAATTTTGAAGCATCAATGCAAAATAAACAGCTTTCTGACAGGAATTTAATAGGACGCACCTTTTTTTAGGTTTGCAGATATTTTAGCTATTGTTGTGCAACTTTAATATATTTATTGTCCATCCCAGTAGGGGTGCCAAATATGTTATTTAATCAGATAATATTCAGACTGTCATTTATACTGTCTGTCATATACCAGGCCCTAAGCTTCAATCTGCACACACAGAGGGTGTTTTCATCTTTCCTGGGGATTTTAACCAGTCTAACTTGAAGAGTGTGCTTCCTCATTTTTACCAACATGTGGACTTTGCAACTCGGGGTCAAAATATTTTACATTTAGCCTACTCTAACATCAAAGATGTATTCAGAGCAGCTCCCTGCTTCTACCTCAGGTTATTAGATCATCTATCAGTCATGCTAACTCCTGCATACAGGCCCCAGCTAATCAGGGCTAAACCAACAGTGAAGCAGGTCAGAATGTGGACTGAGGGGGTCATTGAGAAACTCTAGGACTGTTTCCAATGCTCTGACTTGAACATGTTCTAAGCTGCAGCAACCTATGACAACAACAAAAAAATATATATACATGAGTGTGCCAAGACTGTGTCAGCCTACATCAACAAATGCGTTGAAGAATGATCGTCAGCATCACAAAGAACATCCCCACCTGGACCAACCAACGGACCTGGATGAATAGGGAGGTTCAGAAATCGCTAAAATCTCGGAACTCAAAATTCAAGTCTGGTAAAAGAGAGCTACTGTGGACAGCATGTGCCAACTTAAACCTTCCCATCAAACCAGCTAAGCAGAATGAAAGAGATCCAGGATCTCTTCAACATCAGGAGTATGTTGCGGGGTATACAGGCGATCAGACTACAACACACCCTCCCCCCGGTAGATGCTGCTAATGCTGACTTCTTAAATGAACTAAACAACTTCTTTGGGAGGTTTGAGGCACTAAACAGCACTCCAGCACTAAAAGCAGTTCCCCACCAGGGGGAGGAGGCACTATACCTTGACATAGCTGAGGTGAAGAAAACTCTGAGCAGAGTCAACCCAAGAAAGGCCCCAGGCCTTGATGTACAGGGAATATGCAGGTGAGGTGGCTGGTGTCTTCACAGACATTTTTAACACCGTGATGGACCAATCCATAGTGCCAGCATGCTTTAAGTCTGCCACCATCATTCTGGTCCCAAAGAAGCCTCAGGTCACCTCACTCAATGACTACCTGCCTGTCGCACTGACTCCTATCATGATGAAGTGCTTCGAAAGGCTGGTTAAAGAACACATCCTCTCCATTTCACCCTGACATTCAAACCTTTCCCGTTCATCGATGGAACTGCTCCACTGAGGATGCCATCTCTGTTGCTCTCCACCTGAGCCTGGAACACCTGGAGGAGAAGAATACTCACATGCAGATGCTGTTCCCAGACTTCCACTTTCAACACCATCATCCCACAGCATCTGATAGGAAAATGGAACAGCTGGGATTCAATACAACCCTCTGTCAGTCTGGGTTAGACAGAACACCTCTGATGTCATCACCCTGAGCACAGGCTTCCCTCAGCGCCTTGTCCTGAGCCTCCTGCTGTTCTCTCTAGTGACACATGACTGCTTCCCCAGCTTCACCACCAATCACATTGAGAAGTTTGCAGACGACACTACAGTGGTGGGCGTCATCAGAGACGGCAATGACTGGAACTGGGTGTGGAGGCTGCAGCTCCTAAGACCAGAAGAAGGTGAAAAGATTGATGAGGACAGCAGAGAAGATCATAGGAGCGGTTGCGCTGTGTGACTTAATTCAGATGACCCTGTTTCGACACACCTCCAGCCCCTCCTCCACCATCGCAGCTGAAGCTTAATTAGATTGTGTTTCCTCCTGGACTCTTACTGCGTTCCCTGTCTCATCTTGACCGGTCTGGCAGAAGACCGCCATGTTGAGCCTGGTTCTGCTAGAGGTTTCTTCCCAACAGGGAGTTTTTCCTCTCCACTGTTGTTTCATGCTTGCTCATCATGGACAGGTTCGCTCAACCTGTGTTATCACAACTGGACTTCCATCTTCCAGGTCCCTGAGTGAAGCTCTAGTATCAGCTCGCACAATTCACTGGATTTCCCCATAAAGCTCAGCAGACCGTCTCTCTAACCAGCAGTCTACAGACTGACCAACTTCATCTATCTCCACTCCACCACCAGTTTCAGGACTGGGGGAAACAGCCCTATTCTTTGCTCCTGTTCATGCATATCTATCAAAATTCAGTGCAATGTTTCCTGCTGAGGTCTGAGCACCAAAGACCAAGTAATTGCATCAATAAATTTTATTTAATTGTCTTTTCTCTTCGTGTGAGTTTTTCAGGTTTAAATTTCATTAAACTATGAGGGACTATTAACACTTCCTTGTGGGATTCCATTGATTATTTAGAATTGTGACATTTCAGATTCTACTTTAACTCTGATTCTTCTTTCAATTATATTTTTACAATTATAATGAAGGCCAGTATGTTTACAAAGCGCTTCTGTTCTTAAAAAAAACAAAAAAACAAAAGCAGGAATATTATCCATTTAAGGGTTTCATATAGATTCTGTGACTATTTTTCTTAGTAGGCATTGAGCTGGATCAATTATTTACTGCAACATTGGTTTTTAAATTGTTTTCATAAACCTGCAGCGAAGCAGTCAACCTTTATTAACCTGCAACAAAAATAGTCAATCTATAATCAGACAGGCCAGTAGGTTATCAAGTGCCCTGTTTTCTTTTGTAGAAAAGAAAAAGAAATACCCTACCATTTTTTTTCCTTTTC